ATTATTGTAATGCTTGTAATGTCCATTTATAGTCTTTACACAGCAGCTTGGCTCCTTAAATGTTTAAACACCAGCTAATTTCAAGACGCTGACGTCACGAGGGTCACCCGCAGTGTAAGACGCTCAAAGCTCAAGACGTTCGGTTAGACGGTCGGTCATTCAAACGTTTGATTTTAGCATGGAATACGCTTCATATATTTCTCTGTTCACGCTCCACTTCATCTGCCAGTGAATTCAACGATCTTATCAGATCTCCAGCCGCCATGTTTCAAACGATCCAAACGTAACACGCTTCCGCCAATCCCTGCCTTGAAGCAATGATTGACGGAGGGTGGGCGTGGTCAGCTCGGAATGCATTTTCAAATTGAATTTTGCTACAAATATCCCACGGCGTCATGATGAAAATGCAATCCTAAGTGTTCTAACTGTTAGTCTAAATGCATTTAGGACAAATAGCATTTAAATTATCATTATGCTACCATTTCTGCTTGGACATGTTACACATATCAAATCAATTTGTGTTATACATTTTCATTTTAATTTCGCAACTTATAAAGCATTCAAATTTGCATGCAATTTACATATTAAGACTACTGTTGGAAATGGCAAATGTAAATTATATAATTTAATTTTCATTTTACTTTTGCACCAAACTTTGCACGTATGGGTAATGGAAAATGTAAATTTAAATACAGAAATACAATGCCATTTTGAATATTGCGTTGCCATTTTGAATATTGCATTTTAAATTGAATTTAGCTACCTATATGCTTCCGTTACAGTGTTAGTGTTTACTTCCTTTTTAATTAGATTTTTATTATTAATATTTATTTATTTGTGAAAAGTGCTTTGTCTTCTAAAGTATAAGTATGTTTATTTTACACAATTATTTTTAATCTATTTTCAAATGATTTTAAATTTCTTAAATATACATTAAAATAAATACAATTATATCGGCTTTATGTCGGCCACCCTGCTTTCCAAGATATCGGCGTCGGCTGTCCAAAAACCCATATCGGTCGACCACTAATCTTTTTCTCTACTGCTGAGGCCACAGGATACTAATGATGCAGCTGATTTGTTGCTATGATGTGCCGGCCAATATTTTGACTCGGTCTTTTGGAAGATTACTTTTAGAATACTTTTTTGAGATCAAAGCTTCAGGTTTTATGTTTGCTCTTTTAGGCTCAGCGTCTTCTTACCATGACACCAATGAAGTTGTGCATGAGGACGAGACTTATTACACCCCTTAGTTGGACTACAAACGTAAAAATACACTCACGAATTATACAATATGACTAATTGCGAGATGCTACAGTTACTTCAAAAACATTTTTCCATTTTTGCCGTCAGATCCGCAGTGGTGCCATGTACTTAAGTTGTCCAATGGGGAAGTGTCCTGTTCTTCTCCTCGAGGCGGGCACCACCGGGGAACTCGTTGTTTGCTCTCCTGTGATCGAGGATATAAACGGCTGGGCCGATTATCTGTGCAGTGCATGCCCAACCGCCTCTGGTCTGGATCCGCTGTCTGTCGAAGTAAGTATACTTAAAAGGTGTCATAATTGTGTCAGAGAAACTAGCTCTTTGATTCAGAAACATGTATTAGGCAGCTGCTTGGCAATCTACTTGGCAATCTATCCTTAGTTGAACCATGTGTTTATATTATGTCTGAATCTCAGAGATACGTTGCCATGTTCTGCCTCTGATTGACCACGGTATGTACAGTTGCACCCGTGGTTTTGTGGTAGACTCCAGGTGTGACTACAATTGCTATGAAGGCTACCAGATTGAGGGAGATCGCTACCGGATGTGCCAAGAAGAGGGAACATGGAGTGGCACAGAACCAAAGTGTGCAGGTACATTTGGAAATGTAGGCATTCATTGATAGATTGCAGATGCTATAATATCATTATTTAGGCCAGAGAGAAGACGTTGTAACAATTAATAAAAATTACATTGTTTCAGATCATGACCCCCCCCCCAAGCTGAAATGTCCTTTGTCCAGAGTGAAGGTAGCAGAACCAGGAAAAGTAACTGCCATGGTTTCATGGGAGCGTCCTAAAGATACCGCTGACAGAGCACTACAGTATGTACATCACATTTTTATGAAAGCCATCCAACTTCCTCGGTGTCAAAGAGGCAACTTGTAAACTGCATTTTTGTCATCCTTTATCAGGGTCTTGCGAAATGGACCGGAGTCTGGATCCGACTTTCCTGAAGGAATACATATAATTCGATATAAAGTCTCTGACCAGGCTCGCAACACAGCCACATGCAAATTTACAGTGCATGTTGAAGGTAAAGCCAGTATAATATTTTGATTTGCTTCTGCTTCGAAGTGTTAAAGGGATAGTCTACTCCAAAATGAAAACGGTGTCATCATTTACTCACTTTTATGTTGTTTCAGACTTTTAGGACTTGTGTGGAACACAAATATTGAACCTCACTGACTTTCATTACATGAGACATTTTTCTAAATATCTTCTTTTGCATTCCACAGAAAAATAAAGCCATGAGTAAATGATTACAGCATTTTCATTTTTGGGTGAACTATCCCTTTAACTATAACTAATATTATTAAAATATGACTTAAGGTTTTAACTCCCTTCTCTAGATCCAGTCAGCTGCACTTTCGTTGTACGATACAGTGGTATATATATGTCTTAAACTGAAAGGTTTTTTCCCCTCAGTGAGGCGATGTCCAAAGCTAAAGCCGCCTATGCATGGCTATCTGATGTGCTCATCTGATGGCAATAATTATGGGGATGTATGTGAATACCATTGTGATCCTGTCTTCGAAAGGACAGGTTTTGCAACTCGCGTTTGTCAGCTCAACCGCAACTGGTCCGATGAAGCAGCTCAGTGTGTATGTGAGTATGTGCTTGAGGTTATGTGTATTTTTAATTGAAACACATACATTCAAATATTTTTTCTCAAATTGTTGTGTGAAACGTTTGCTTTATCTTTTAGTAATGGACATAAAAACAGATGTCAGGTCTGCTGGTGCTCTGCTTGACCAGTTTTATGAAAAGAGAAGGCTTCTTGTTGTGTCCACTCCAGATAACGCTAACCAGAAGTACAGGCTTCAGAATATTATGCTACAGGTAATATACATACTTCCTTGATTAAAGCAAAAATAATCTTAAGAAAGGACAGTTACAATCTCATTACGAAGCATACCTATATGACTGTGGGAATGTTCCAACACAGAAAGCTGATTGGTGTGATCCAAATCTGGATCTGCGACATGTGACGGTGATCAAGCTTTTAGGAACTCCACCTCGTGCAGTGGGCCGCATCAAAGAACAACAACTAGAGCCTGAAGTCATAGAGGGACTTAGGTAACTTACTGAGTATCTACAGTAGTGTTTACATGATACATACTGTATATTTAACTGTTGTATTTAAGGACTTACATGGAAGTCATACTGGCAGATGACAACGGCAATATTACAAACAAATACTCAGTCAAAATGAAATTAACCATATTTACTTTTTTAATGTCCTGCAGGTTCTCAATTGATAAAATCAAGTCTAAGCTTTCTCATTGTATATCAAATATCATGGGATGAAAACCAAATTTAATGCTGACTTTAAGTTCCAGGAGAGACATATTGACCAGTCTATTTTCTATTCAAGACCAGGTCTTATTTTGATAAAAGCCACATTAAAATATCTTGGACAAAACACTTTCATAAGGTCTTGCAACAACAGGGACTCTATACTGAAGGAAAATGTTTTGTTGATTCTCTCCACTATGCATGTGTGTTTCCAATCTAAAAGTGGTAAATTATTGTTTGCATGTGTTTTTTGTTTGTATGTAACAGACAGGCACTGCATATATCTACAGCGTATTTCACCATGGTGCTGCTGGACAAGTATGGTGTGGATCAGGAGCGCTTTGTTAACTCCACCACCTCTGATGAGCTCTACTCATACGTAGAGGAGTATCTCCTCACAGAGGAGGAGCTAGAGAGACTGGCGATGAACAGGGACTTCTGTGACTGACCTCGGTCTGATCAACTCCAGATCTGATGTTGTGGGTGGGAGTTTTCTTTATAGCGACAGGCACCTCAAGAGCCTGTTTCCTAGACAAACAATCATTTAAAACGACATACTGCAGATATTATTCACAGAGAATCACAGCTGGAAATGTGATTTAGTCTGGAACAGGTTTTAATCTGCAAGTGGAAAACTGCCAGGTGGGGTTGCACAAGATATACATATTCCTAAGAAAAATAATTTTAACTATCTATAATTGAGTGCACAGCACACAATGTGGATTCTTAAAAAGATGTAATATTTATTAAATGCTGGTATTTTTGTGTAGCTCCTAAAAAGAAGGTGCTCACAATGGAGTAAATCAGCATTATGACATTAAAATACATTGTGTTTAAACATGCACATTTTGGGCCGTACATTAAGTGCACATTTAAAACCAAAGTGTTATTCAAATTAAAACATTTACAGTCTCCAAACATTCATTTTTAAGAACAGGATTCAAATGATGTTGTATTTGAAAACATCCATTCAGCTGCAACATTTCAAGGAAATAAATATCATTAACATATACACACTGCACATTTCCACATCATTATTTGTGAACTGCCTTAAATGTTTAAAAATATATAAAAGACGCATTAACCTAAAAAGACTTTAAAATATTACTGTGATGCATTAATGTTCTCATATTGCACAGCTGTAACAGCAACACACAAATATGGAATGTGTAACCCCCTGTGGCTTGGGGGGTGGGAGGGGGGTATTGTGCAGCATCTTTACTTGCCGTTTCCCATGGACGATCGCAGTGGAAGAGTGCCCTCTGCCCAAGAGTCGGGGTACTGCATCATCTTCTTCCACAGCAAGATCTCCTCCCCTGTGGAGTCTGCCATCCACTTTTCCTTTCCCTCCTTGATAGTCACTGTGCAAACATCAGTTTAAAATGACTTGAATATTCTCTCTCGCGCTCTCTCTCTCTCTATATATATATATATATATATATATATACACATATACATATACATATATATACATATACACATATACATATACATATATATACATATACACATATACATATATATATATTTTATATTATATTATATATCAAAGAATGCTGAAAAAATGTATCATGGTTTCCACAAAAAATATTGAGCAGCACAATTGTTTTTAACATTGATAATAAGAAATGTTTCTTGAGCATCACATTATAAATGTAAATGATTTCTGAAGGATCATTGAATACTGGATGGCTTTGAATAATTCAGCTTTGTCATCAGAGAAATAAATTGCATTTTAAAATATATCAAACTAAAAAAACTTATTTTAAATTGTATAATCATTTCTCAATATTACTGTTTTTACTGTATTTTTTATCAAATAATTGCAGCCTTGGAGAACATAGGAGACATTAAAAAGATCTTATCAGCTCCAGTTGTATTAACATTAATCATATCAATAAAGCTTGACTGAAAAAAATACACCTGAATGGTGTTACAGTGATACTTCTGAATTCGGTGTCTGCAGTCAGTGAATCCAGTAATTAAATCAATGATAAAGGCTTCTGAATTGATTTCAACTCAAAGGAATATGTAGCAGCAGATGCTCTTACCTCCTCCCAAGCTGAGGCGAACTCCTCCCAGGAAGTCATTGCTGGACAGGGACTCTCTGTCCCAGACAGTGAGCTCCAGACATACATCCTTCAGCTTCTCCAGACTCAGGTCGTTGTACACAAATGTGTGGTTGTAGTTTGGGTTCTTTGTCTTCTTCACTACCGGAGTCTTCTTCTTTGAGGAAGACTTGCTCTTTGATGGCAGCAGATACCTGAAGAATAGAGTTAATAGTAGAAATAAACAAACAAGGGCCTTTCAAAACAAAACAGATGTAATGAAACAGATGTTTGCAAACCCTTTCACAAAGGAATCGCATGTGCCTCCAGTTTTCATGGCTGTCAAGTTTTTGGCCTCTTTGATCAACACGTGCAGCTCAGTACCATCCGCGGGTATGGTATTTTTTCCTTCCGTAGAGAATAGAGGCATAATTTACTATGTAACACTAGTTAAAGACATTTTATAGATATGTTAACTGTGTTTTCCCTCACCTTTTCCATTAGAGTCCTCTGGATGTGTCTTGTATGCTGTGACACACTTCAGTGAAATCACCAACTCGCCTTTGTACTGATCGAATGGAGATGCTGGCTGGGCAGCTGCCTATGAAGACAAACGGAAAAAATATGTAACGGTACTACTAAACAAAACAACAACTTGAGTACAGTGGCATATTTATGTGGCATCAAAACAAGTATATACCTTTCCTCTAAGAGCCATGCACTCTTGATGTGCAGTGTCAATGTCATGGCTATCCATTGGTACCTCCACCTCTCCCAGAAATGCATTGTGGCCAAAACGGTCGTAGTGCCAAACTGAGAGTTGTAGTGTTCGAGTCATTAGCTGGGTGCGGCTGATGGAATACTAAAACAAACAAGCACAAGACAGGTTGTCAATATGAAATATATTCAAGTAAGAGGTTACCATGTAGGAGCTTTGGCCAGTTGTTTAGTCTGTTTGTATGAACCACGCATGCTGTTTGCTCTAGATTAAAATGGGGCAAGAATATGAACTAATATTTATCTGACTGTGACTCGGTGATAACAGTGTACTTATCTTCTCTGTCAATACCAAGCCCATTCGAAACCTGAAGTTAGTGTGCAGGGTTTTAATTACCTGACATAAAAGCACAGTGCTATATAACAGTGTTGCTATTATTGCTCAATGGTATCAGTGTCTGATAGTATTTGTTGTTCCAAACCATGAAAAATTAGTTATTTTGGGGAGTTTGATTTTGCTGAGAATCAATTTATTGAAAATGCTACTATTTTTAAATACGATCTTAAAGGAATTGAAACTATACCTTCAGGGTTTCCTTAAAACTGGGGTTAATGTTATGTTTGACTGAGGTTTTCTTCTTGCTCTTGTCTGGGAGGAGGTAAGCTTTGACATATCTGTGGAAAGGAATCAACCAATCGGGAGAGTTTAGCAGTGATTTTCTCTCTGTACCGGGGAAACCCAGTGGTATGGTTCACTGGTGAAAAATTATTATTCTTGGAAGACAGTAAAGAACTGAGACCCTCTCAAGAAACCACATGGAAATCACTTAGCATATGCTGTGTGGAGGCCCACTTACGGGTTGCACTTCTTTTTTGCTGCATCAGCATAAGCCAGTCCTTTACACTCACGGACCACAATAGACAGGCTCTGGCTCGCCTCATCATAGCTGAGAGAGAAGAAAATATCTCCACTCACTTTCACACGATCGTAGTCTCCTGCTTCACTGTACACACTCATTGTACTACCAAGAGTGGCCTGTGGAAAAAAAACAGAAAAAAAAAAACAGCTGCCCAGCATATTCAAGTGTCTAATATTTAATTTTTATTTAGTTTGTGAATAAAATACATTTAAACAAAAAAAATATATATTTAAATACTGTTTAAATATTAGTAAAAAGTTATTTACAATTCAACCATTTCAATATTACTTCATTTTAATAATATTTAATTTTATTCTAATTAATAATATTAAGGTGGGTTACCCTTGAGTACCCTCCCAGACTTCCCGAGCTATCACCGAATTTCTGCCTGTGTATATTCACCAAGTTATCAATATCTTCCTCCTCATCATCATCCTTATGAAACAAGTCAGACATTAAGAATAATACAGTGCAAACTTGTTTAAAATTGTTTGAATTTGTTTGAAATTAACTCACAGCATTAAGGCCAGGAACTGACTGGCTTCTATCTCCCATAGAGGGTGCAACATTTTCTGTTCCATCTTTACGCAAATCAAGTGTGGAGGCTGGTTTAATATCTATGACAAAACAGTGTTTGCATCTTTAAAACCCAGAGTAAAATAATAATAATAATAATAATAATAATAATAATAAATGTATGTACACTACCGTTCAAAAGTTTGGGGTCGGTAAGATTATGTATTGTTTTTGAAAAAAAATGATCTTATATTGACCAAGGCTGCATTACTTTGATCAAATATATAATTTATTGCTTTGTCTTGGAAAGTTTTTCATTCATAAATGAAGATGGTTTAAATCTAAACCCAACTTTAACTAGTGGATGAATGAGTTTAAAATTTTGTGCAAGTCTTTAGAATTGGTTAAAAACAAGAAAGCTCTCAAATTGATTTCGTTTTTGGGGCATGTATAAACTAATGTAAAAAACCACATTTGGTTTGTTTTATTTGTTCTATTTATTTATTTCTTTTCTTTTCTTTTCTTTTCTATTATTGGTTTATTGTGATCTTGTCTGTCACTGGTTATGCTCAACCTAAGGCTGTTCACGTGTTGTTAGATTATGTGATGTGTTTATGTACCTTGTTTGTTTGTTGTAAATGGAAGCATAATAAAAAAAAAAAAGAATAAAAAAAAAATTAGAGCTGGATAAGAGTATGTTAACATACAACTTAATCCAACTAAAAAAAAAAAAAACTTTGATCAAAAATATAGTAAAAACTGTAATTTTGTGAAATATTACAATTCAAAATAGTTTTAATCTATTTTAAAATGTAATTTATTCCTGTGATGCAGTTGTGCTGCTTAATATTTTGTGGAAAACCGTGATACATTTTCTCAGGATTATTTGATAAATAGAAAGAGCAGCATTTGTTTGAGATAGAAATCTTTTGATACATTATAAATGACTGAACTGTCACATTTGAACTTGCTGATCCCAGACTTTTGAATAGTGTATACTCATCATAATATAATGTCACCTGATAGTTTGTGCACTCTTCTAACACTTTTCTTGAAAAGCCTATCCACATCACGCAATGAGTCAGAGCACGCATTCATGTGATGAATTAATGAGGCCTTAATTTGGAGGGATGATGGTGGAAAAAGCAAGACAATAGGTGACACATGAACAGAACTAGGACAGAGAAATTATATGGCTAAACAGGGTGAACTATGAATAAACACTTGCTGTCTCATTGGTAGATGGGCTTTCACTGTTAGCGGGGACCATCAAGATGGACACTGCAGAGCCTGCTGGACTAGTCTTGGCTGTCGGTTCCTCTTTTCTAGGTGCAAATCAGAGGATTGCATCACACTACTACATCATTAGACATGGATTTCTGTGTCTCATACACAGATTTTACCTTTGCATTAGGGGGGTACTGTGGGATGATTCGGTCTCAGCAAGGCTGCTGCCCAGACTGGCTTTTTCTATTGAGTCTGTGTCACTATGCTGTTGCTCTCGCACATCAAGTCCCTCATAAGTCTCAAGAGGTGAGCTGAAAAAATGAGACGGGATGAAGTATAGAGTGCTGGACAAAGATGTCATCCTAATAAATAACATTAAAACACCACAACTATACTGGCACTGCATGGCTGGAGAAATAGTACACTCAAAAATATAAAATTTACTTTTATTTACTCATCCTAACATCATTACACACCTACATGCTTTCTTTTTTTTCCTGTGGAACACAACAATGATAAGATCTCAAACAAACAGGTTAGACATTATTATCAAATGCATTTGCTTTTGTGTCTCTCATAGTGTGTGTGTGAGAGAGACTGTGTGAGAGACTGTGTGTGAGTCTGTGTGTGTGTGTGGTTTGCAGAAAAAAATAACAGCATACAGGTTACAATGGATGATACAAGGATTAATACATTTAAACTATCTCTTTAACAAAGAACTGGTCTGAGTGATCTTTAATAGAATAAAATGATATAACAGAATTATTAAAGAGATGGTTGGAAAAAAGTAAATATTTTAAATGAAATTGTAAATAATTAAATGATAAAGAACATTACATTATTTGCTCAGTAGAAACATGAGACTATATAATAAGTGATGATTAAGACACACCTCTTATTTGCTAGTGCAATGTCCTTCAGTTTTGGCTTGGGCACAGGAACAGTTTGACTGGAATTCAACTCAGCTCTGTTTAATAGCATTTCCCCAGTTGTCTCATGCTTTTTACCTAGAACAGAGAGATGTAATTTTTAAAAAGGGGAAGTAAGTGGTGTATAATGATTAATCTTAAAACACTGCCAGCCATTTAAATCTAAAGTAAACAGGAGAATTATTCCTATGTCCTTTCCTCTTGGTGAAAGCACACACACACACAAAAAAATCTACTTTCCACCCTTTATAAAAACAGAAAGTTCAAGTTCACACTGCTCTATCAGACTGTCTGGCATCTGCTTCCTGCACTCACTCAGAGGCCTTTTCCTGAGGAAAACTCGGACCAAGTTGTGTCCAGGAGCTGTAGAATAGCGGTTAACCCTCTCGTCATTGAACCAGTCTCCAGTGCACATCTTCAGATCTCTGAAAGAAAAAAAAAAACTGAAGTTTCTGTTGAACATTAACCTTTTCCATTAAGCAAGGGCCTCATTTTCCAGTCTAATGTGCCTCTTAATAATAGGGTTTCTAAATGGACTGAGGCCAAAGAGAGGGGTGCTGGGAGGCATGGGGTACACACTCACATCTCTTTGGCACACACGGTGCACATCCAAGATCCGTTGGGTCGAATAGATTGACATTTTCTGCAAACCTGATGTTTGCATACTCTGCACTGGCTACCGCTGCGGGTCAGAAGGCCCATAGGCTCTTGGCAGCGGCCACAGCTGCGCTCACTGTATTTCCCACTGCCACGTTTCGCACCCTTTCTTTTGATTTCCAGCAACTCAGCTTTCAGCTTCCTAAGAGTACAAAAATGTTTTTGCCTGATAAACATCCTTTCTAAGTTCGAAATCGAGTCTAAAGGCCTGTTCACACAAAGGATGATAACTATAATGATAACTTTAAAGTTTTAATAATCATTCTAATTTTGTGAGAATGGGGAAGTCCACACCAAGGCTATAACGATAATGACAGAGAAGAATGACACACACATCACAATAAAAAAAACAAAACACTGATGGCCAATCAGAATCCATCAGACTTTAAAGAGCTCAAGCATTTAAAGCGGCAGATGACAAAACTGCATATCATACTTACAATAAACAGAACATTATCGTCTGTTGGTGTGGATGCTAATATAGTGATCCTTATAATGTAGCTTTCTTCATAATTATAGTTCTTGGTGTGAACAGGCCTTAAGCCCTGATTGGTGTGATTTCATTTTGTAGAAATAGACATTAAACAAACATAAAATTAAAAAGTATAGGGTCAGTAAGATTTTTAAAGGTTTTTGAAAGAATGCTATGCTAACCAAGGCTGCATTTATCTAATCAAAAATACAGTTAAAACAGTAGTATTGTGAAATATTATTTATTACAATTTAAAATAAATGTTTTAATACATTTTAATATACTTTAAAATGTAATTTATTCCTGTGAAGCTGAATCTTCAGCAGTCATTACTCCAGTCTTCAGTGTCACATGATCCTTCAGAAATCATACTAATATACGATTTGATGCTCAAGAAACATTTGTTGTAAATGGTTTCTGCTTAATATTTATATTTTATTGTAGAAACCATGATACATGTTTTCAGGGTTCTTACTGACCCCAAACTTATGAACGGTAGTGTATTAAAAATAAAAAGTTTAATGTGATGTGTAATGAACACTTTAAAAAAAACGATGCCACAACAGGTAGCAGTTGTAAAGTTTGCATAAATAAAGCTAAATTTAATTAATGTTTAATTTTTTTAAATTTAAATTTTTTTAATTAACATTTTTATTTTATTAATTTATAGTGACACTCACTTCACGCGCAGCTCCTCCAAGCGCCTCAGCTCCTCATCTCGCCGAAGGACCTCTAGTATGAATTCTTGCTCAGACTCAGTCAGGACGGATACGTTGATCTCCATGTTCTGCACCATCCTCAAGAGTCAAGCCCTGCTTCTAAGGAATAAAAAAACAAACAAATGGCTCTGGATGCATTAAGTCAACAAAATATAATAAATGTCAACACAAATGCAAATTACAGAAACCTGTAGAACCACATACAACCGCTTACCGAGTAACATACAAATGTTGCTCACCGATAATAATAGAAGCTCACCCAACCAAGAACAGGTCATTTGCTTTTCAGAGATGACACTAACATATATAATGAGAGTGTTACACAAATAAAGCAAGTCTTGCTGTTTGTAAAAATGGTAGAGACCTGGAGACAGGGCTGAACTGACAAATAAAGGGAGCGACCTTTCACAGTTCCTCCATACAGTGTCTGTCCGTGTCAGTATCCTGCAGGAGCCGAGTAGTTAAACAAGCACAAGGACACCCTGTGACATGCAGCTCCACATGCAAATTAGTTGGTTACTAATGGCTCGCAATGCCAATATCGCAGCAGGGAAGTAAATATATTCACATCCCAGGATCTACCACATAAATCAAGTATAAGCATATTAGCAGTAATAAATCATTTAATAAATCAAGCCAAACAAATGTATGTATTTTGCAAAAACATAGGTACGCCTGCTTATAAATGAGACAGCTTCTCATCGTGTTCTTACAGAAAGGACGAAAATAATGTTTTGAGCAGAGAGCGTGAGAACCTTGTTTTGATTTGTCGCTTGTAAAATTATGGACAGCATATCAATAAAAATGATGTTGTTTGAGAATAAATAACTAAAGGCCAGCAGAGCCTGGGAAAATGGGCAGAGCACTGGAATGTCATCAGGAAAAGAGGAAATCAACATGCAGTCAGCGTATCAAGATTCAAGATTTTTATTTGTCACATACATGGTTATATAGGGAATATATGACCAGCAGTGAAATGTAAGTAAAGTAAAAGAAAAGTAAGTATCACAAGTGTTACAGCCCTTCATGGACACACAACCATGGGTGGAGGACTTCAGCAAACTCTTTTTTTTTTTTTTAAATGAGGCATTTATGATTATGATTATTACTTGGTAGCACTCAAGAGCCTTGTAAAAGCCCTTTGAGCTCAACTGGTGGCAAAATTGTGAAAAAAGAAAAAAGAAATCAATAACCTTCAATTAAGACTGGTTTGGTCTATATCCAAAACAAATGGACCTTCTGTGATAAACGTGTTCCTCATTCTTTGAATGTTTGAGGAAAATAGAAAGGATTAAAGTGAGAACCACAATGAATGCACTTTCTTCCAGCTACACTGATATAGATCTGAAGGATCTGTCCTGCTCTAACACACGGACAACAAACAACAACATTCAATTCACTTAACTAAATTATCCAACATTACATATAAAAAGTCCAATGTTAAACAGAAGAGTAACAGTTAACGTATTGGAAAATAAAACGCAAACTAAGCGTATAGGAAAATAAAATACAATTGTTAGCACACTTCAAGATTTTAAAAGAAAAGTGACTACATCGACGCATAATAACGACAACTGAGAAACTCGACTCGTTGTGTCTCACAGGGAAGCGTTATTCTAAAGTAGGATATAAACAGTGTTAGTAGTTTGTCGTGTGTAAAATTGATGCCTAATATCTCTAACAAATTCTCTTCACATGTGCTTTAAATGTTTCCTTACCAATAGCGCAGGATCTTCCGTTAAAAAAGAGAAAAGTTGGAAGGTTGTATCAAAGCATAGCTCAGTAGCTTAGTACATATAAGATACATAAATGTATTTTCATTTGTCTGAGTACAAGGTTTTATTTTTTCAATTTTGCACCCTGTTTTGTCCCACTTCTCAAGAATGATATGTATGCAAAGCTGTTTTGGTTTTTGATTAACAAAAAGAAAAGAAAAATAATTCATCCGTGGCCCAGAGGGTACGAACATACACGACTAGGCTACCGTCCAACCGTTTGTGATCAGTAAGATTTTTTTTAAAGATATTAATATTTTTTATTTAGCAAGGATGCATTAAACGGATCAAAAGTGACAGTAAATACATTTATGTTACAACAGATTTGTGCTATATAAATGCTGTTTTTTTTTCTATTCATGAAAGGATCATAAAAATAAATTGTTTCATGGGTTCCACAACAAAAATGAGCAGCACAACTTATAAGAAATGTTTCTTGAGCCCCAGATCAGCACATTAGAATGATTTCTGAAGGATCATTTGACTGGGTGGCTACTGAAAATTCAGTTATTACTGTTTTTGTATTTTGATCAAATCAGTTCAGCCTTGGTGAGCATAAAATGCTTTTTTACAAAAACATTAAAAAAAAATGTTAATGGTAGTGTATATCATATAATAAATATTGATGGTTGCTTATAATATAATTGATGTTGCTCTTCATCTGTCATTAAAGATAAAGTGAAATAATCTACACTGCTTTTCAAACATGACAACCACAAATAGGTGTTCAGGGTTCGTAAGTGAACAGTAACCATCAACACCACAGCCAGATTTTGAGAAGATTTTATTATTTATTTATTTTTAATTACTACAAAACACTAAAATCATTTTCCATTTCAAGCAAAAATATATGTGGGAAAATTCAGCAATTAGAGGGTAAAATCTGGAGCTAATTATAGACGGGGGCTATAATTAGAACAACTTTATACACTATTGGTTTTTTTTTAGAATGGTTTACACTCCAAGTCCAGAACTACATGAATGATATGTGGTGTGTATGTCTTAACATGCTCTATGTGCTTGATATTTGTCTTCCATTTGCTTCCAGTGATGTCTAACAAAAGTGTACAGATATGCCTGGCTGTGTCTGAAGCCCAGGCAGTCCATACTTGCATATCTCTCTGGATCCTTAGAGAACATTCTTTTATTGAAGAGCCTTTTTCAACATCTATAGCAGATGAATGTTCAGGTGGTTCATGGTGCAAAGGTGTTGTGACATTTTGATGAATATGCAGTATTCCACCTGTGTCTCTCTTTAGCAGACGGCATGCCACTGGCCATCCCTCCTCTGAACTTGGTATGAGGCCCAAATTCACTCGATCAGCAAGATCACTTAATGGAAGCTAAAAAGGATGTCCAAAAGTTTATTAATTCAACTGACCAGCTGTGCAAAAAGGCACAAGTGTGTTTATTATTAAAACAAGAACAAATATCTGCCAATGGAGTCAGAAAAATCAACTGATATTCAAAGGGAAGCCACATTTCCTGACCCCCACTGACAGATGTTTTAAGCATAACCTCACTTAATTTTGTTCAATTTCACAGAAAACAAGACTTCATATCTTCATTTTGCATTTCAAGTAAATGTTTCTTGATTTAAGGATGTTTAGATGGTTGAACTGGTAAAATAAATTACTGAGCAAGGTATTTATTTTAGTCCAGAATATGCAACATTTAATGCCATGACTTTACGAATTTATGATTTTCTGCTCTGATTTATGGCTGCTTTTTAAGACCTTAATTTGTTGAAGAGCAAAGACCTAGAGAAACCCTGATTTGGAAATGTTCACATAATGAAAAACTTATATATTATTATATATTTTCTGTTACCCAATGAGCTGATTATCATCCACAACAAAAATGTTTTTTTTCCTCTGAAATACTAGTAGGTGAACTTAAGATAATGTCAATCAGCACTACTGTATCCTGACCTGTCTGTTGTCTCCTTGATAGCCAGTGCAGCGGTGTGACACACCACTGATCTGCAGATTTCTCTGTAGAGCTTTTACTGCATCTGGGTTCCATTCACATGCATGCACATGAGCAGCCGTTGCATGTACAAGATATGGAAGAGTGAAGTAGCCAATGCCTGGACAGTGAAGCAAAAAATGATCATACATCTTGGGTGATAAAAACCATTGCAACTCTGAAATGGTAAACACACAGCACTGCTTTTACCTGCGTATAAATCAACCAGTCTCTACACTGCAGTCAAAGGAGGCTATTCTGAGCTTCTCTGTGATATTCCCAGAAGAGAACATGCACTTGGCGACATCAAACTCATACCTGGAATTTCAGCCAGACAGATTAATTAATTTGAATATTTGTTTAATATATTAAGTTATTTTTTCCCTCAAATAACATGGCAGCTTATTAATTACCTAATGTGGTTATCGATATGTGTTACATAGCTGCTGTCTCCTAAAAGCATTGTCACTATAGGTGTGCGATAACATCCTGGGAGATTTTTTGAATTTGTGCTATACGCTTCACTCCCAGTGTCAAGGCAACTGCAGTCCAGAATTCAGATCCTAAAACAAATAAAAAGTGAGAGCATTCTTGAAAATGTTTAGCATGTAATCAATGTAAGACATTATGAGATATTATGAGTTACTATGAGATAGTATTCTAGGATAAATAAAATATTAATAAAGCATATACAATCTAATTATTTTATATACAAAATTTGACCTAGAGAGGGCCTTAGATTCATTAATACCCACCAAAATCTTTCCATATTGCATGAGAGAAGCAGCCTTCACTAAACAGGACAAGATCTCCATGGCATTGCCATCGGCTAGGAATGTCTCTCTCCAGATCCTCACTCCATGTTTCTCCTTTAGAAACCAGCAAGGACTGTGCAGCCTCTATAAGCCTCTTATGAAAAGATTGAACTTTCTCCTTCTCTGATAATGTGGGAGCCTAAAAAAAAGCATATACTGATGTTCAGATGTTCAGTGAATTGGGTGCAAACATATATCTTTAATAATCGTGAATACTGACCTGGATATCAACAATTTCACAAAAACAGTTTAATTAGTTCCACTAGATCAAGCTGTGCCAGAACAGATGCTACGACTGGAAGGGTTACAGTCCCATCGGAGTGTTTCTGTGCACAGTACTTGTGGTCCAGAACACCTTGTGACTGTAAGTATTTTCTGAAAAACAGTTATATATAGTAATACACCAGCAAGTCTCCAAATACAGAAACATGTAAAACCATTAAAGTTAACTAGTTTTAACATGACAGCAACTTACTTTCTTATATTTACCCACGTTTCATGGAACATTTCAGTATTACCATAAAGAGATACTTTATGTTGGTAATTATAAATCATTAACACTCAAAATGACTTTATTTAATAACTGGCCAACTAACACTTTTTAAGAGATCTTCTATTTTGGTGTGTGATATATTTTTCATTGCAAACGCAAAAGGAATATTAAAACGTTTAATTATCTAAAACAAACTAATATGGGGGTCCATCAAAACCCCATTTGAACCTACACAGGAACAATGCACATGAACGAGACACCGTAGCTTTCGAGTAATATCGTTCCTACTTCCTAGTTGGTTCCGAGTTCCTAGTAGGAATATTATCAGCGTTGCACTAGTAGAGCGCCTGGAAGAAATATAACAGAGGTTATTATAAAGTTCTGTGTGTATCTGTTCATTTTTATATACGTTTTAGTTATAATAATACTACTAATAATAACAATAATGTAAGAATACTGTCTTTTTTCGAGTCATCAACGGTAGATGGCAGAATACTTTGGATTTGACCGCGAAAAACATCCGCGTGGGGGCGAAGAAATACAGCACGCCCAATCACAGTAAACGCAGCTGTCCCACGTGACACGTTATAAACAATTCTGAAAACAAGCAAGGTATGATATCTGCAGATGTTCTATATAAAGATAATTATATATCCGCTATACCGTACCATTTGTTCACATTTACAGAGGTTCAGTTCTGATAGCGTTGATCTAAAATGATTTTTCTGCGATCTTCTATCGTTATGTCAATTGGAAAAAGATTATGAGTACAATTTACTGTAGGAGGAGACACGTCTTTAATTCAACTTCCGTTGTCATATTGTGTGTTGGCGAGTAACTAACGTTAGTTACATGTAAGGGCGTTACGTTATTTAATTACAAATTAAATGTAACTAATAAGTTAGTTACTGAGAAAATATGTGTAATTAAATTAAAGTTACTTATGAAAATGTTAACGATTACAAAGGGGGTTACATCTGAATATTCACACACAGATTTAATTTCTTTCTTTCTCAGATTACATTGACTGCTGTAAAATGTAAGTCAGAAAGAGCTTTATTGCCAAGTATGTTTGCACATACAAGGAATTTGTTTGAGTGTCACAAGCTTCCAGTACACAGAGACAACAACAACACACAGATAATAAAAAAGATGTGAATAAAATACACATGCATAAATATAAATAAACCACAAAAAAAGAATTAATTGTATGTAAGACACCAATGATTCAGGAGTTTAGTACGGAGAATAGTACATATGATTATTCAATAACTGTTTTATTTCCTATTTGTGTTTATGCATATGCTTTATTTCGTAAGATTAAAAGCCCCCCACCCCAGGCATTATTAGATGCCAGTGTTTCCTGTCATAGCTATGCAAAGATTTGATTTCAAAAATAGTATCATAGCTATTAAACTATTTCTTGTTATGATTTTAAATCTGTATTTAACCTCAGAACGATCTGAAAGTAAAAAGAGGTGGTAAAGTCAGATTTTTTGGCGGCTATGCTTTAAAATTAAATTATTATAATCTTAATTCAAGAATGAAGGATTTTGAAAGCCTTACAGTAATCAGTGTTGAGTACCACTGTAAGGTTAACCCTGCCTGGTTTAAATGTTTGAAAATGATTAATAGTTTAAAACATTTGTTAGAAATTCAGAAATGTAATCAAATGTAATCAGTTACATTACTTTAATAAAGTAACTGAAATAGTTACACTACTTATTACATTTTAAATAGGGTAACTTGCATTCTATAACCTATTACATTTCCAAAGTAACCTTCCCAACACTGGTTGTCACAATAGCCCTGGTTTCCCTTATATAATAGTAATTGTCACCCGTGCTTTACACACTTTGTTTTACTAGATGTCAGCAAACAGTTGTGTGACAGCTATCCGGCTTGATTCCCTCAAGCAAGCTGACAAACCACAGATCCACCTGCTACCTTGTGAAATAGAGCATGACGGACCTGCTGAAGTCTTCAAGTTCTTTAATCCCACTGTGAAGGAACACAAACACGGTTAGTCAAATACCAGTACACACCTCGAGAATGAAACGAGTTGAAGCGCTCCACCCGATAAAGATAACACTGTTCTGCAGAAACGACAGTGTCATTCAGAGGTCGGGGGCTGAAGGGTCAGGAATTGCATTGCCCAAATGGATACACAGGCCTAGAGCTGAAAGAGGTCCAGAAGCCTGCATCTGATCAAGAGGTACCTGCACTGTTCTTTTCTTTGATTTCACTGACATGTCCTTTTAGAACACTAATTCTTAAACATTTTTTCATACATTTATTTTTAGGACAGAGTAGTAAAAGTTTCTTCAGTGTTCCATCATTTCACATACTGGAATCTGGAGACGCCTCCCACATCCGATGATGGAGTTGTGATGGCGATGGCATGGCCTCAGCTAGCAGAGGCAGTGAGTTCCTTTTGATAACTATTAATCATTTACCATCATAAGAATCTGCTTTACTAAAAACATTTCTCTTAATTCACTTAAAATTTCTCAAGTATTAATTAACTTCTAAAACAATACCTCTTTCTGCAGATGCATGGACCAGTGGACGACTGATAATGGACAATGTTTTATTGTGGAGATCTGCTTCTCAAGTAAATATTTACAGTTAAACAAATGTGAAAATGATTCTTTGTTGGAAGACAGTATAAGTAACTTACTGTGTTGTGGTAGTAACCACCATTTTTTACCAAACATATGTTGAAGAATATCACAGTGCAACATGACTAACTATTAAAAGTCTTGTTTTATTGTTTTACCTTGTGCAGAATTTTAATTTAGACATATTTGGCCATTATTTAACAGTAACTGATACATTTTGGTACGATTTACATTAACTTTCAAACATTTGGGGTTCGTGATTTTTTTAAATAAGTCTCTTATGCGCAGCAAGGCTGCATTTATTTGATAAAAAATACAGTAAAAACAGTAATATTGAGAATTATTTAAATTGAGAAAAATGTTTATTTTAATATATTTTAAAATGTAATTTATTTCTGTGGTGGCAACCCCATTACTCCAGCCATCAGTGTCACATGATCCCTTGGATATCATTGTAATATCAGCATATTGAAATTTATTTATAATATAATGATTTGCTCAAGAAACATTTCTTAATATCAAAATGTTGAAAACAGTTGTGCTCTTTATTTTTTTGAAACCATGATTAATGTTTTCAGAATCATTTGATGAACAGAAAGCATTTATTCGAAATAGAAATCTTTTGTTGCATTATAAATGTCTTTACTGTCACTTTCTGTGTCCTTTCTGAATGAAAGTATTCATTTAATTTTTTTAAAAATCTTACTGACCCCAAACTTTTGAACAGTAGTGTAGTTCTCTAAATATTTTACAACAAATAAATGGACCCATCTTAAAAGCACTGAAAGCTGATTGTAGTTCATAGCACCTATTTAAAAGTCTCACCATCTTTCACGCTCACGAAAATGCACAGAACACTTACACAGCAAAAACCTTCCTTGTAGTGATACAGTCATTTATCTGCTCTAGTGGATCTTAATGCTCATTTCTTGGTATAACAGCTACAATATTCCATAAGAGACATAAACATGACATTTTAAACTGTAAAACACCACCATGAATGGTGATTACCTATTAAAAGTCTGCTTCAATATACTAGGCCTGTGTGCTGGAACCACTCCTCTTAATCAATTCAAATTTACTTACACTGCCTGTCTATAAAAACAATATACTTTAGCAATGAATATTAAAACCAAGTTGTGTAAAATCTCAAGAATATGTATAGCTAATTCAATTAACACCAAAACCATTTGTTTCAGTTGCATCGGTTCTGTTTGTAAATGGCATGGAGGCAGTCACGTGTCAAGTTTCCCTTTCAAAGCACTTGCCATTTTGAGGCATGAGCCACAAAATTATAGACGTGGCAATTCACGATTTTGTGATATTTGCAAAAGCCTTCAGCATTATTTCGTTCAAGTTTCTGAAGGACCCGTTAAGAGGATTGAGCCACAAATCATGGCTACGTCTGGGGAGGAGGGGGAGGTGGTGAAGGTGGAGAGTCTGACTCAACTCTGCTGCGTTTCACTGGTAAGCAGTGATCGTGTGCCTTTCTGATGTGCCTGTACAAGTCTCCAGACTGTGTGTAACTACGGTAACAGTAGCTGCACTCATAAGGTCGCTCCCTAGTATGCACGATGGCGTGTCTCCTCAGGGTGTAAGCACAGGAAAAAGTCTTTCCGCAAGTGTTACAAGTAGGCACGTCCTCTACGTAACTCCCAAGCGAGTCATGAAAATCCTCAAGGTACATGGCCTGCTGCTCCGGCTGAGAATTGGCTGGAAAAAGAGATGATGAAAAGCTGGTGGTTTCTGCTGCAGAAGTATTAGGACCTTGCGGTGAGGGAGGGAAAGAAATGGGTTCTTGATGTGGAAGATGAATTAACTGGTGTACAGGTATGAACTGAGTATCAGTCAGCTCCTCAACATCATGGTTGCTGTCGTCATAATCATCCACATGATCTATATCTGCACTTCTACTTGGGCCGTCATCCATGATCACAGTCTCATCTACGTCATCAGACTCTTCGTCAGAAATCACAATGGCCTCCACTTTCACTTTAAAGCGATCTTCATTTTCCTCCCTTGATGTTTGCGAAAGAGATTTTTTACGCTTACTTTGCATGTTTCTTGTATTGGGCAAAGTGTGCTCATGTCTCCTTCCATTCTGGCTCTCAATGTGTTGTGAAGACCCTGGATTTCCTGCACCTTTATTCTGGATTTGGGGTTTTAGTGTTTGAACCGGAATGAAAACGCTAGGTTCATGTTCTTGGGCAGCACTAGCGTTGTCCACACTGCTCAGAGCCACGGCAGTGGTTACAACAGGATGCGTCTCTGTCTGAATTAGTTCTGTTGTACTACATGGACTTGAAAGTGCCGACTCGAGGCTAGCAGACCGTGCCGAAATTCTTGTCTTGTCAGGTCTAGGTGAAGAATGATATGTGGACGAACCCGAACAAGAATTATTGATGGCTGGTTGCGAGTCCATTCCTGGTTGGGTTGTGTCCGCCATTTCTGAACTCTTGGCGCTGTGCGTGAGGAGATTAGCCGTCCCTGCTTGTGTTTCAGTCTTGGTATCAATATAAAGTGACATTTGTTGACTCGACTGAGGACAATGTGCTACTGCTCCATCTCTTCCTGTTTCTGCACCAGTTATGTCTTCTCCATTCGAGCCATCAAGTTCTCCAGGTTTAGCCGATTCGTTTGCTCCAACTTCTACTCTTGTACTATCCGCCTCAGCCAATCCTCGACCCTGCAGTCTTCTCTTACAAACTCGCACCACATCATTCATATGTAGGAAGCTGGCTGCGGCGAGCACATCCTCTGGAGGGGGGTGGGCTGCTAATCGCAGAACCCCTTCATACATGAAATCAAGGAGGAGTCCAAAGGCTTGTGGGGTCACGATATCTCCATTAATAGTGACTGTGTCTCTCTGTGGCCCTCCGTTGATTGTGCTGGTATTCCCCATTGACTGATCGGAGTAAAACATATGGAAGAAAGGGGAGAAAGAGGCCAACACGGCACGATGGGCTCCGAAACGAGTCGGGCCGACCTGCACGGTGCAGTCACATAGGAAACCTTGCAGACGCTGAGAGCGCAGGCTAGCCAAGAGCTGCTGACTATGTCCTGGAAACTCCATTTCTACTGACAACCTAGTAAAAAATAAAGCCATGGTATACAGTTAATAAATATAGTTTATGCAGTGTATATATCAATAAAACATCTTTAATTCATAACATTAGAATCTACGTATTGTTAAGATGATATGCTTCTTACAGAAATGTCCAGAGTGCTGACAAAAGTCCCCACGTACACTTTAAGATCAGCTCTTTTGAAGCACCATCATGTTTGTTTTATGGATCCACTGGCAACAGTTGTTCGCGAATCCATACCAGTAAAATCATATGCTTGCATCTTATAGCAATACAAACGGATTCCTCATATCCTGGTATTCTTTACACAGCATTTTTCTATTATAGGTTATTACACCAAACCTTCACCGGAGCACCGTTATATAAATCGAAAGCAGCGCCACATATCCTTAAAATATGTTTCTAGCCACGAGGACAGCATCTGGCATATTTAATTTCTAATATGTGATTTAAAAAAAACATTTGTACGCGATTCTGCAATGTTTTCTTTTATAACAATACATCACGAACACACGCTTCTACGTGCAGTACGTTCGGTTTGTGAGAACGAGTGTGCTCTGCCACCTACTGACTGGGAGGAGAACGAACGCGTAAAAGTGTGCACAAATACACGAGGAATTTGTTGTGGTTTCGTTTAAAAATAAGTCCTTATTTGACAGATACTGGTACAATAATGGTATAATCTGGGTGAGGTAGTAATTCAAGAATAATGGACATCTCTTTACTTACTGTGAATTCCTAAATTATTATAAGATCCCTGTATTTGATGTCATTCCTAGTGGTCTTATTCAGCTTTTGTCTGGCAATATATTTTCTGAGTTTATCCCCTTAGGCTATTTATAAATAATAATAATAATTTTGCTATCACCTTAATAATCATCATGACTGTTGTTAGCTATTTAGCATTATTGTTAGCTATTTAGCAATCTGTTTATTTAAGAGAAAATAGTGAAAAATTATTTATGGGGATAATATACTTCCTTGATAAAAACAGGAGAACAGGAGGGGGGAAATCAAATAAATAGTTACTTACAAATCAGTGTTAATTTAGTATAATTGAGATACTATAGGTTTTTTTTTTTTTTTTTTATTTTGAATTTGTTTTTATTTTTATATTTTCAGTTTTTATTTTAATTCTAGTTTGAGTATTTTTTTGTAATTTTGTAATTTTTTTATAGTTTTTGTTTTTTGAATTAGTTTTTATTTTTATATTTTGTTTTCATTTTAATTTGAGTTAAAGCTGTAGTAAATTTGTTGCGTGTTTTTACATTTTTATTAGTTGTTGTTTTTAACATACCTAAATAGTTGTTATTAATTTTATCTTTACTTTTAATTATTTTAGTATTTTAGTATCGTTAAACTAAATTTGCCTCGGAAACTAGCTGAAATAAAAGTTTAATTAGTTAAAAAAAAGTATATTTTATTTCAGTTTAAGTGACTTATTTCAAATAACATTTTTAATGGTTTTAGTTTTAAATATAATAAAAATAGTATAATTACAAACAGGAAAAGTATGTTTTAAGGCATCCTATTAGTAAATTTAACAGGAAACCACGTCGTCGATGGTTTTCATCGATGGCTTCACACTGAAAAGTTACCCATGAGTAGGGATGGGCGATACCCCTTATTTTGTTTTCGATACGATACCGATATTTTTCAAGGCAGTATCGTCGATATCAATACCGATTTGATACTTCTGCACTAAACTTTTAAATTATGAAATTTATGAAATTATTAAATTACTAAGAGTAAAATGGGTAATGATAAGCACTTAACTTTATGTTTAAAATGCATTTTAACCCGTTTAATCCCAAATTTTTCCCAGACATGAAAATATCCAAATGATGTGTCATTAGTAGCCCTTTGAAATAATCAATATTTTTTTTTTTTTGAAAAGTGTGTGAAAATTTGTATTTTATGGTCAGTCACAATTGTAACCGGTGGGATAATGTGTATACTGAATTAGCATATTTCTGCAGTCTTAAAAATTGTTATCTATCTTAGCCCAGCTATTTTAAACTGTTTGATCACATTCTAGGGTTACTATTATGCATAAAAAACCCTTATACAACATTGATAGGAATACTGAGATCAAATACAAAAAAATACAACCATCAACATATTTCAAAATTGTACTTTTTTGTAACATATATCATCACATTTTTATATTAGTGCTACCAGTATTACAACATCATTTTTTTTTCTGTCCTCTGATAAGCATTGTTCAGGGCTGCCGTTCCCAAAAGCTTTAATGCTTTCTTATGATACTTTTGGGAAACGCAGCACTGTTTGAATGCACTGTCAGCAGTGAGTGAATGCTCTCTGTGATTGATTAGTTCCGTCTTGCAACATTTGCGTGTGTTCAGATGAGCAGGAAAACAGTTCTATCTTACACAATTACTCGCTAACAAAGGTTATTCGTCCAATTCGATGCATATTGTACGCATTATTATTATTATTTTTGTTGTTAAATAAACAAAACCACTGGTAAATAAAACGCACCTTAGTATCGATATTTTTTTTTACTTTCGATACTCGCGTCAGTATCGATATATCGATACGCCTATCCCTACCCATGAGTCTGCGGCTCATTCAAAAATGGAGGAGGGTGAGAGAGAGTCGGGAAACGGGCGCTGTTCAGCACCTTCCCAAACGTCTGACCAGCAAACCACTCCCGAGACCTCCAGTCAAAACATAGAAACTGATGGGAGATGATATCGAAACTAAGCTGGACATCAGCTCGGATAAGTTTGACCCTCTGCTCGTTCTGTATTCCCCACAAGTGCCATTGCCTTACCCCAGTATCAAGTGCTTTAATAACATCGCAGAATATGAGAGCTTTATGAAAGGCGGTCGAGGCCGAGCGAAACCCGAAAACGTGGAGAAAAGACTCCGAAAAGCACAGAAGGGCAAAGCAGACCCTGAGAGGATAGAAAGGCTGAAGAAACTCATGGTGAACAACCCGGTTGAGGAGGGAGAGGGAAGCGGAATCAAGCGACCACCTCGACAGCAAAAAGCGGCCAAAAATGTGCTTTCCAGAATGCCACGTATGTTTCTCTCTTTACTGTCTAGCTCACAAGACGATAGTAAACACTAAACTGTTGTTTCACAGCAAAAAAGTGCTTTCTATCTAGTTTAGGGTGACCAGACGTCCCCGTTTTCCGGGGACAGTCCCCGTTTTTGATGTCCTGTCCCCGACTGGAGCTGTCCCCGGAAATGTCCCCCGTTTTACAGCACGTTAAAAAAACCCGCAAATACACTGTAAAAGCCCGACCGATTTTGCCAGCTGGCAATCGAATGATTGGTTATTTCACCAGTAGAGGGCGCTGCGAGCTATACTGATTACTTGGTCGCGCGCTGCTACTGTAGCCATAAATATCTTGCACTAGAGCAGCAGAGCGCTATTAGCATCAGTTATCAAAAGAGAGCGCGTTGTTGGTTTCAAGGTAGTCACATACTAATATACATGTTAAAACAAAGTTATACTGTTTGTGTGCACTGTATAACAATGCATGATAAGGTGATTGTTTTGCACACAATATTAAACATTACTGAAACTTCCGCCGTCACGATATGAATAAAAAACATTTTTAACTAATCTACACTTGCACAATTGCATTTGCAGAAAGCACATACTTTATGGTAAAAATGAGCCTAAAATTCTAAATAATAAGCCTGATTAGGGATAGAAAAGATCCATTTCCGAAAGCATAAACATAAAATTTGAAAAGTTGTAGGCCTAATTATTGTACTCACAGTTGTGAAAATGTTAAATACAGTTTTATTTTATTTATCATATGTTCTATGTTTAACATATGTTCTATGTTTGCTATTTGCAATAGCCTAGTTACTAAGCCTACTATTTTTCATAGTGTGATTTTTGGTGAATTGTATTAAAAAATAGGGTAAGTTTGATCCTCAATCATCACTGTAATTAGGCCTGCCAAATATGATATTAATATATGGAACCCACAACAATTAAAACAAAAACAAAAAAAACATGTCCCCATTTTTTAATTTGTGGATAATCACAAGTGAGATTTCAGTGATATTTTGACCACCGAACCAGGAAATGTCCCTGGTTTTCATTGTAGAAATCTGGTCACCTTAATCTAGTTAGCTCACTAGGCTCTGAATCTTTTATTTTATTTTATTTTTTGCAGTGCATACAGCAAGTCCATTAGGACAGCTGAACAGATGTGTTCAGGAGAAAACCAGAGTCAAAGTGTTCTGGCTTTGTGGTGGCATTTGATAAGTTTTGGAACCTGGTAAGTATTAAATCATCTTTACTTATTATTATAATTACTAATAATCATTATTAAGTTTAAATGTTTGTCTTTTTTGTTCTGCTGATCCTTTTGGTGCCAGGCAATGGTGGATGTGGATGAAACATACAGGGAGCCTCTTTTGGGACAAGCTCTCTATCACGAGAAAGCGCTTACTGTCACACGGGTGATTCATTTGAAAAAAATTTATATACATCTGAATATTCAGAACAACCAGTAGTTATTAATCCTTAATCACATCTAATATTGTTTTAAAAATATTAAATAGAAAAAGAAACTTTTTTTACTGTGCTTTATACTGAAGAATTTTTAAATAACGTTGCTTATTTTTTTTACACTTTTCAATATAATTATATTGCTTTATAACTCTAATTTAATTTATTTTCTATTACAGCTATTTGAAAAACTAAAAGTTCAAGAGACTGTGGCCCTCAGTGCAATTGAGAGGAAGTCAGACCTGCACAATAGTTCATCTCATCTCAGAGACCAAACCAGGAGAACCCACCCCAAACATACCCAGGAGAGATCTGAACCCTCTGAGAAAGACAAGACTACATTAAAAGTGACGCAAAAATCTGAAACCAAGCCTAAAGTGGAATATGGAAGAGTGCACACACGTCATGTCAATCAGCTTTTTATACGAGTTCTTCTTGTGAACATGCAGCAGGACTAAAGACTACCCAGATGAAAGATTAGTTTACTTTCTATGGGGATCACCCAGAAAGGTTTTGTAAAATGAGTGTATCATATTGATATGTATATTAACAGGTGAAAATAATGTTAAAAGCTGAGCAAAATAAGCTCTTTTTAATTGTGGTTGTGTTCATGATCTAAGGTTGTATACTCAACACACACACTGCTTATTTTTGCTGCTTTGAATGACCACTAGGGGGAAGTAAGACACTGATGCACTGTAAGCATTAGTCTAATTTGTTGTATTTTGTAAATTATCAAGGGGAAAATGGCAATATATTTAACAAATCTTTGCTGATATTCACATCACTGTTCTGTTAAAAGGAAAGTCAATCTGGCCAGCCAGTACACACTCTTATTTTCATGTCAAACTGAATATTCTGTTAGACGTTTACCTCTTTTAGCGTAAAAAAATTGCAGTTGGGTCTCCATGGATTAAAAAAAAAACAGTATAAATGGGTTAATTGAGCTTTTTGAGGTTGGAAATTGTATGTAGCACTCAAGGCTTTTTGTCGTGACATGTTTGTTTTAGTTTTTTTCCCTCACTGCATAAGCCAT